AGAAAACCCCGACCAATCAGAGCGCGCGTAGACCGTTCGAGCGGCCGAAGGACATTGACGTTGCCGCCTAGCGCGTAGCCTTCGCTACCGCGGCCGCTCGAACGGTCTACGCGCGCTCTGATTGGTCGGGGTTTTCTCTTAATATCTCCTTAACGAAGCCCCATCCGACATTTTTGCAAAGGAAATTGTTCAGAATCGTCTCAGCTATCCCCCATTTCCGGCTCCTCCCCGACTTTTGGGACACCCTGTATAGCATATACAATGCTTGAACCATAGTAGATATTAAATTTTGAGGTTTAGGCACTTTCTCGTACTTTACCTCTTGTAAGATAGTAGGCGTTCTACTCGCCTTACTCATTAATTTCATTGGCTTAAATTATACATGTAATGTTACTATCGTCGGTACTCCTCGAGTATTATTTTCACATCCGCTTATCAATAGTTCAGTATAGTGGACTCGCGTGCCAAAAGGGTATCCAATTATCAAATTGCTATAAGTACCAAAAAGGTTAATAATTTTTAGATTACTATAAGTTTAAAATATTGACAATTTAAAGTTATTAATTTTAAAAAATATCGGTTTGAATAATTTGTTCGTCCGCAGTTTTCTTTATTTTAAAATAATGTGGTCAACTTCATGGGGCAAGCGGAGAGTAAAATTTAGGCTGTAACAATATAAAATTGTGTAACATAACATGTATTGTCATTGATACAAAACAAAAAATTTTCGATCAAATACATTACCTCATCATGCTTTTCTTCCTTATTTTCATCGTCATCATCACCAGAACTGTCCCCTCCCGAACTATCAGCAGAATTGCGTTGTTGGTCCTTATTATTTAGATTGTCAACAGTCGTTGGAGATGATGCTTTTACTTTACTAGCTGCATCATAACATTGTAAACAGACTCTAACCGCTTTTCCATTTCCTTGTCCAGGCAGTAATAACTTCTTATTACTGCACGGTCCACATACCACGGCTCCGCACTGTCTACAATGGTGCTGGAAAAAGTTTGATTGAACTTTTAATATTGTGAAATTATGTTTTGCAATGATTCGAAAAAATAATTCTCCACATACTCGTCTATTTAAGACTGTAAATTGTGTCTTATTACAGTGCATACAGATTGTAGCGTCATTATCTGGTACCCATACAGCTGCATGAACTTCGACTGGTTTTTTACCACCTATCAACAAAAACGTGTTCAAAATTTAAACATAGTACGTATATAAGTAGATATATACGGTTATATTTTCTAGTCACGATACTAAGAATTACTTACTCTTTCTTAATAAATCCTCTATACATTTTGTAATGTGAGCCATCCATTCTTGTTTCTCTGTTGCAGTGGCAGCATAAACAGCAAATGACTTTGTTACTGTTTTTATGAGCCAACCATTGCGATATTCTATAAATAATGATGAATTACTCTACTATCTTTACGGAACTGTAAACACTTGCAACGCTAAATGTATGCACTGTAAAATAGATTAGTAGCCTAGAAAATTTTTATAAATTTCGAAATACCATTCAAAATCTAAAAGAAAATACTCTTAAGGGAAATAATTGTATTATTGTTGGACTGTAAAAAAATAGAGTTATACAGATAACATGTAACGAGATGTTTGATGTCATCGAATATGATATACCTAAACAGAAATAAAAAAAAATATGATAAAATGGTATTAAAAAATATAACTTACGACCATCGTCGGCCACAGACTCCAATTTAACTTCTTCAAGTGGTATAATGTGCTGTTTATTGTACTATTAACAAAAAAAAAGTATACATTTGTTTGAATGTTTATTCAATTATAAATGATTACATTAACGAATGATAGTGTCAGGTTGCATAATTTATAATTAATTACCTGTAAGTAAATTAATAAAATGTTAACGTTGACATACCTTTTTTTTATTTATTACAATGTTTCCATAAACCAATATATCGTTAAATAAGAAAAACTGTCTTGGTTTTGGTTTTTTTCTACACATTTTTGTTAGAACACCTTCTCCAACTAAAACTCTTCCAGGTACTGCAAGTGGCTAAAATAAATGGTATATTTGGGTTAACTTCAAACATTATTTTATTGTCATTTCTTGTAGGTAATAATAAACAATATTGATTGTTCTATATCTAACATTCTTTCTTTTAATTTTCGCGATATTGTAAATCCAGGTGTGAAAAAATTAATATTTCTATAATATCACATGTACCTGACCAGAACTGCCAAAGCAGTTTTCGACCATGCCAATACGCCTAGCATTGGCTTCGCTGTTTACTGCAACATACAGAATAAAAATTAAATAATTTTTAATCGCTATTGTATAAAAAAATATCAGGTAATAGATCAAATTTAATGAAATATTGGGTATTTTGTTTCGAGAATACATATATTATGTATTCCATTTAATTGCCATAAACATAAACTACAAAGCTACACTGTTCCCCAATGCAAATCTCACAAGTTGTAGAACATGCAAAATGTGAATCTTCTTATTATTGAACCGGAACAAATGTCACATGTCTTGAAACGATACATGTCAGAAATGAATTAAATGGCATTAGCCTTCCTATTTATCGTATAAAATCGTTGAAGTAAATAACTTGTAATTTTGATTCTTAGAGAAGTACGCACAAATAAATAGAATCGAATAAAGGATTTGCTATTTTTTTGTATTAATTCATATATATATATATATATATATATAATGTATTATGTTTAACTGTCAAAAACACAAGCTACTGAGCTACACCGTTATTCGATGCAAATAGTACAAATATTAGAATATACGAAGAAAAAGAAATCTTTGACTGGTTGAGCTGAAGCGAATATCGCATATTTTACAGTGTTATATAAAAAATAATTAACGTTTTTCGTGAAATATATAAGAATAATTAAATAATAATAAATGGGATACAAACTAACCCAATCGGTCAACCATGATCCTATGAATCAGGGATCAGGGCTGACAACAACAGGAAGTATGAATCACATCCATGTTTCGCTATTTGTTACATAGCGTTCATAGTGCGTTCTATTCAAAGTACATACATACATATCAATATTCTATTCTATTCTATTATAAAAATATGATTGTTATATTACAAAAGTTACAAATAAAAAGAAAACAGATGTTATCAGAACAATATAAAATGTAATTTTATCTTTAAAAAAATCAGAATTTGATTGTTAATAATAAAAGAAGGACTAAACAAAATTTTACTTCTCAATTTCATTTTTGTGTTTATTTCTTTGAAACTTATAATTGCAATTTTATCGATCAACGAATCGTATAAATATATTGATATTTAAATATTAACCTATTTGTATTTTGTTCATTGAAAAGAAATTTGAGTAAATAAAATCATGTGATTACGACAGAAAATCTCATTGGCTGACTGTGTCTTTGATCAGTTGTCAATTGACCCCCCCTGGGGGTCTATTCTCGAGTTTCGTGTGAATTTAGTTTGTACAGTGCGCGTATCCTCGTCATAATATAGAAGTAAAAACTGGACTCAAGGTGACAATAAAAATGACATTTATTTTGAGACGTTGGATGTGGAAGCACATGATAAAAAGGACACTTTTACCTGTGAATAAGTTAACGATAACACCAAATTACAAAATTCACACATCGAAATGTAATTATATTATATTTTTATAACATGCATCCATAGATGTCGCTCAAAACAATGTAAACATATAGTTTAAACGTAAAATCCAAATGTATTTAAACTATTATTTTATATCATTGATAAACATTTTTTAGATTGCTTTCACGGTGAATATGAAATGCAAGATCCAAAGTCAGAAGCTGAGGTGTAGGTAAAATTGTCGTATATTACAAATTATTAAAAAATACATTTTACCGCGTTTATGTCGAATACAAACATACAAAACATGTAACAATTTAGCAAGTATGACTGACATTGACTAATATTTTTATTCAACATCTTTCTTTGCAATTATAGACACTGAATTTGAAAATAAAAAAAAAAGTGGTTAAACAAATAACTTCAGTTGTTGAGTTTGCTCACAGATTTGTTTAATTATTAACTTGAAAATTGTATCTGCAAAATTCACATAATCCAGATCTGTATCTCGTGTATGAATACAGCACTAAAAAAACTTGTATAATATTTCCTGTATCTAATAATACATACATGTTGGATGTGTTTGAAGTTGTGAATTTTTTTAATTAAATTTTGTAGAATTCATTAATGAACTTTATTTCCAATGTAAAATTTGTTCATTTTTAATAGCAGTCATACTTGCCAAACTTGTCAAAACTGGATATTATAAAGTTTACTTGAATACAACTTGATGTTTATATTTTTTAGTGTAAATGTAACATTTATTGACAAAACAGGAAAAAGAATTCCTGTAAGGGGAAAAGTGGGAGATAATGCATTATATTTGGCTCATAGATATGGAATTGAAATGGAAGGTGCTTGCGAAGCTTCTCTTGCATGTACCACTTGTCATGTATATGTGCATCATGATTATATAGACAAACTTTCAATAGCCGAAGAAAAAGAAGAAGATTTGTTAGATTTAGCACCTTTTTTGAAGGAAAATTCAAGATTAGGTTCTTAAAAAAAAGTTCAACATACTTTATACTGAAGATGAATTTTACAAAGTACTAAAGTGTAATTTCTTATTTTTAGGTTGCCAAATAATACTAACAAAAGATTTAGATGGCATAGAATTGGAGCTACCTCAAGCAACAAGGAATTTCTATGTAGATGGTCATACACCAACTCCACATTAGTGTATCTTTTGCTTTGTATATAAGTTATACCAGTAACTAACATCTGTACATATTTTGTTTATACAATTAGTAAAATACGTGTATTATATAATATATAAATCGAATTTTACGTACTTTAATGTTTTTAATAAACAATAATATAAGAAAACATTATATTTTCAGAAAGTACTTTAATATATTTCATAAACTTTCAGAGCAACAAACTTGATTTATATGACATTTCATCATGGTACAATATATTTATTTCTTATACATTTGGATTATGATACATATCTTTAATTACAATGATACAGGATTTAAACATTTATGATATAATGAATCTGTGAATTAAAATCGTAATCATTAACCTTGCAGCATTTACATTATCAGTGAAAATACCCTATAAGTTTTTTTGTTAACTGTTCACGCTTGAGCGCTGCCAATAATGTGGTACACATTTTGTACTCTTGGCAGGCACCTTTATGTATTTTCTCAGTTTGACTATTTTCACAATAGCTTTGTGTACACATATTTTTTAAATGTGCATAAGTTTCCACGTTCATCAGTTCGTATACGCGTACGCAACTTGCATGTTGATTTATGCATATACATCTGTCTCTGTGTCGATAATTATTATCATCAAAATTGTCATAATTATTATCGTACAAACTACATTCATTGATCACTATAATTATAGACACGTTATAACATCTCAAATCAATCACACCCTGCACTCATACTTCGTAATTAAAAGAATTTAAATAGAAACACATTCATCCTGCCATACAATGTTGTACAAAACTACACTTGCGAAGATGATTACATGTGTATTTCTCATTTGGTATGAGTCATCACAACAGACTTATTGAAAAAATAACTTTTGTACTTATTTGTAATTAAGAAAAGATCATGATATTTAATCAAATATCATACAAATAGAAACTGCAATTAAAATTATCAATGGAATACTTTAAATCGACAAAGATGATTTGTTTAATATCGAAATTAAACTATTAATTTCTATGGCGGTAAACAAGTTAATATTTACATAGTTGACAAATTTAAAGTTTTATAAATCTTCATAGAATTTTTGTAATAAAAATATTTCTTGATTCGCATCAAGTGTACAATGTATGTTTATTGAATTGTACATTACATGTATAGCGAGTCCAATTATATAATTTTTGCGCAATGTACCCCTAAGCTCATTCAATAAAAGTGCAAATATAATCATTATCAAAATGAAAGTCTAATTAATATTGTTCTGTTGAAGGCAATTTTATAACTCAATGTATCTCATATATCCATTGAATATACTGGCATTTGTTTTTTAATCTAGTAAAACATTGCATTCTCTATGATATACTAAAAATCACTTATAGAAACTGAAGTTCTGTTAAATTAATTACAGTTAAAAATATAGAAAATTTATGTAGCTGTAAAAATAACATTATATTCACATTACTCTCCTAACATAAAAAATAGTGTGACATACCTGTGTGTACATATAAATACTGTATTACCTGTTGAATATATAAATTGTAAAAAAAGAATATAGTATTGGATATAATAATATTTATCTAGAAAAAAGCCATCGCATCTTTATTTTGTGCAAATTTCATAGAGTATTATTTATAATTGATCTGAAAATGAACAAATATAAATATATGTATATTTAGATTGTAAAAGACAAAATCTTTTTCGTATTTTTTTCGTTATAATTGTCTATGTGTGTATGAAAAATAGTTATTGAGCTTAGGGGATAAGTTTTACGAACATTAACTGACTTCATGAAGTAACAAACTTGTAAAGGCAAACATAAATTTGAGCGTGTAAACAGTTTGAACCATTTAACTAGGTCACATAATTTTAATAAACGATAATTATAAACAAGAATCTAACAGCATTATCCTAAGATTAATAAAAAGAAAATTAAATATATTGTACATTATACGGAAAATATTCTAAACGTTTCTTTTTTTAAGACATTACATACTTTGTAAAGATTTAAAAGTACTATACATATATCACGTAAAATTTCGAGAAAAAGTAAATTTTGATATAAGTTGTTTCAATCACAAAAGAATTAAAATACATCCCTATCATTGGACTAGAAATATAAGATATAACAAAACCTATTGAATGATAATATTGATTTGTAGTCTTCCACCATATTCCATAAATCAAATATTTCGTACTTCTTTTTTTTAATAACTAAATGTCTGCAAAAGGATTGGAGATGCGGTGAATCGAACCGTTTAATAATTAATTTATATTGTTATTCGAAAGCTGCATCTGACTGTATCATCTATTTATTATAAATTATATTTTAAAAATAATGTAAAAATTGTAAACATTATAATTGAATCTCTTTCAATGATATTTATGATCACATAATCTGAGCAAACAAACAAACAGCTATACTTTTATAAAACACTTAATTAACCATAGCGTTTTAATAAATTCAAAGTTAACTTCCTTTCAATTAAAATTTACATATAAAATTCAGATTCTTAGTGTGCGTGAAATTCTAAAAAACCATATATTATGGTTTGTAAAGCTGATAATAAAGAACGTTCAATAAGATCAATAATAAGCAGAATTATTGTTAAAGACCAACTGCATCCCTCTCTCAAAAGCATCTTAATTTTCTAAACATTCAAATGGTGTGCATATCATTCAATTATTGTAGAATACATAAAATAAAATGAACTATCTATTAATTATTAGTGAACTTAAAAAAATAATTAGGAGTACATATAGATGTAAATTAGAATTTTCTTAACAATACTAAATATATATGTTACAGAAATATAATACATTATAGAATAGAGATTCCGATTTGTAAACAATCCATAGCAGTCTATAAAAAGCAAGAAATCAAGTATGGATAAGTTTTTCTTCAATATAGATACATGTTTACAATAATGTAAAACTATTTTTATCATTCATCCTAAAATTGAAAATATATTTCAATGTGTGATAAGCCTCAAACTAATAATATATTATATTATCGAAGTTTCTTAAACTTATCTTCATTGTGAATGAAGTAACAATAAGATTGATCGTACTGAAAGTACCATGCTAGTAAATACTGATATAATTTAGCATTTAATATTACACCAACGTAGTAGCATAAGAAATTCCATTTAACGAATAAATGACTATATAAATATTAATGATATTTTTAAAATAGAAAGAGCACAATACAAAGGTACCTTAAGAACGAAATTGCATTTTGATAATAAAAAAATTGTTTGTTATAAACATTCATCGTCATAGAATTTTTAACATTAATTTTGATACTTATTTGTGAATGTGCAACTAGCTTTTTCAACCAGTTTTGCTAATTACTGAAATAGATTAGAAATCTTTATTTTTGCCTGTTAAATACCTAAGGCTTAAAAGATAAACATACATTTTGTATATAATTTGTAATTGAATCAAAGCTAACTCAATTTTTTCTAGAAAAATCATATAAAAGTGTATAGTACAAATATTGTCGACACTGGGTTTGATTATAAAGACATATAAAATTTCATAAGAAGAATGAAAAAGAATCCAAATAATACATTTTGTAGTGACAAAATGTTATCACTTTACATTTTACGAAAAAAATGAACAAGTTTAATAAATAATATCTTCAATTTACATATAATAAAATCAAAATTTCTATAATCGTATAGCAAACAGTTACTTTTATTGTAAAAAGTTTCGCACAAAGCAAAACTTAACTTCCAACTTGGTAATATACAATTTTGCATGTCCTCATTTCTTCATTGAATTCTCAAGTGTGCACCATGTATCACAAACAGTTGGTTAGTCCAGATACTGTTATTATAGACCCATCATTCGAAGTATACTAAATGAAGTTCATTCTCAAATCGTTTAATGTACAGGTGTGACTAAATAATGCATTTTGCTAATAAAATATACAAAATGTATGGAATATAGATAGTATTATGACTAAATGCAATACTTTATGCTCGTATTTTTTTCGGTCTTTTGCTTTTTTTTTTAACAAATTACTTCAGAGATGACGCTGATGGATAAGTGCATGTACTGGAAGCTGTCTGCCCCTTTGATACCTCTGACAACGACCCATATTCAAATCATGACATTCGTACACATTGGCTACAGCACCACGTGATGAAGAAAGATTGGCTGATTGGACAGAGTATGGAGCAGAGATATCAAAGGGTTCCTCCAGTTATTCCATCGGATGGTGACGTCCTCCACACATTCCACAGGACGTGCCACACCAATGTACAGCTCTGAGTGGAGGATAAATCCACAAGCAAGGAACGATCAGCGACAATAATGCCAAACCAAACCACCTGCGTCCACATCCTTCTTCTGTGCTACAACTGCACAATTTAATGTTTATTTATAATGTATTCTTAATTATCTACAAGTAACATTTCCAAAAATAAACAATAACGATTTAATTATCGATCAAATACCGAATACATTATAAATATTAAGAATCTACATTTTGAACATCTTTACTATAAAGCTGAGAAAATAGTTCCAATGAATTTTATAAAAGTGATAAAAAGTACGTGTGTATATTTTGCTCACCTGCAAGAGTTCTGGGAAAAATCACCGTCAGCATCACTCATACAGTGGTACAACATACCCTGAGCACACGAGAGACACGAAATTTTTGCGATTCCACGTTTAATAGGATCTGGAGCATATTCGCAAGATCCTCTAGGATTGTGCTGTTCTGTATATAGTTCTTGGCAATATTTACATCGTAATTGAACATTACGTTTCATAGTATTTTTAGAAGGTTGAGATACTATAATATTAGGTTTCTTAAAAGAACCACTTGAATTATGTCCATCTAACCGGTCTCCTTTATGATCATCGATAATGGGATATAAATAATCATGATTAAGGGTTGTGAGCTGCACATAAGGATAGCTATCTGGTCCAACATCTGCAGTCGATGCCAAAGGATGTTGCGATGGCGGTACTTTTATAGATGAACCGCCGATATAATGGATAGGTTTCGAATCAGGAAGATCTGAACTTTGGGAATGATAATTGGGCACTCGAACTATGCCATGAGGTGTATCCGATGACGGACGTGGTTCCGACGGTTCCACTGGTAAGTTCAAAGCCTACAAAATAAATTTTATTTTATTTGTGCCATTATACTCTATTTATCTTCATTTAATGCTTACCATGAAAACATCCTCATCGCCAGCATCTAATGTATTACCACATAATGTTGAATTAGCCAACCCTACATGATAAACAAGATTATGTAAATTACACAAAAGATTCATGATCCAGCAATGCAATTAATATTTATAAAGTCTAACATTCTTACCATTTGCACATTCCATAAAAAGTAGCAGCAAAATGATAAGTAAATTATTGGAACGTAAATGTAAATTAAACGTTATTCTTTTATGTTAGTTACTAAATTTATTGAAAGAAAAGATATAATTAAAACAACGATCTACCTTCTAATAATTCTTCAACAGCCGTACGAACACCTTTATCGAAAGCTCTTGCATCTGCAGCAGTTTGAAATGTCAGTCCAAATCTTTTCTCCCCTGTCCTCCAGTGATGAAAAGTTGGCATTACCTTATTGTATTCAAAATCTTTTTTAATTGTACAGCTAAGAACAACCTGTAAAAAAAATAACGGTATATCAAAATGACTGACTAAAATGTAAGGTATAACATTAAGGCTAATATAATTATAGCCATTCAGAACTTGGTAATCATTCAAAGCTTAAGGGGAGGTTACCGTTGAGATGCATGAAACATGTGTGAAGTTCTGGAACTAGTTTTCAATATAAAATAAATACTTTTGGATATAGGTTTCAAAGTAATAAATTCGTGTATAATTGGAAACAAAATTTTAATTTTTTTATGAAAAAAGAGTCCAAAATGGCGGCTCCAACTCAGATCAAATAAATAAATACATGGCGTCGTTTGCTCTGCGCGGGGCGCTCACAGCCCTGCTAGTTTATCTGAACCAAAAACGGGATTTCGAATTATTAAAGTAGAATAAATTTGGGGGAGCATTACTGTTTGTGATTTTCTAAAAATCCTTTGGATAAGAAAATGGCAGCTGTTTGAAGCAAAAAAGAAACGAATTCTTTTACTGTTTTTTTTTTGCTTCAATAAACGAACAAAAATGCGTAAATCATTTTTTAACAAAACCCAGTTCAATGCTCTTAAATAAATGTTAAGAATAAATATGAACATTACTGATTGATCGGTGATCCGTTTTCCATAAATGAGATACTCATGTCTCTTCTTAGTCGCACCAGGTGGGGAACTAGAAGATCCATGACTTTGAACAGGAGCAACAGCTGTAATTGATACAGAGTGTGTAGAGTTGGTAATAGAGGGTATAACAGTCGAAGTTGAAATACCAGATCCATTGATATTATTCGACTGGTGGCCACTTGAAGAAGTAGCTCTTCGTCTAACCGAAACATTGGCTAAACCACCGCCACTTAACGGAACCCAGCCACCAGAACTATCGTCCCTTGTCATTACCTGGGCCCGAACCCTCACCAGATAGTTACCACTAAAAGTGAAATGTCAAGAAATTAATATTATAGGTTGATAAATGTCAATCTAAATTATTAATATTCTTAGCAGGAATATATTTATTAAATTACTTAAAATAAACTATTAAGTAAAGGAAAGAGTTTTTCAGGAAAATTCAAACTTTATTATAGGGAAATTGAATTGGGAATTTTGTCCATTTCACATAAATTATTAAAAATAGTTTTTCATTCACACAAAGCTACTCCATAAAGTTTTCATAAGTTTATGTTGCATTTTGAATTCAAAATAATGTCCTGAACTGCGTAAAACCAAAAATACAGAACTCTTTCCTGCACCTAATATCTAAGAAAAGTGAATAAAATATTTTAATATTGGTAAACATTTGTATATATGTATGTATGACACAAAACATATGACAAATATTTTACACTTAAGAAGAAACTTCTCACTAGATGTAACATTACAATTGTATCAACGTATATGAAAAAGATTCTATATTAAACACCATTACATAGAAGATGTCATTCACCAATATTAATTTTATGAATAAATAGACCATATATAAACATAAGATAACACACCGATACTCCAATGAAATTCATACTTTGCATTTGTAAATTTCTACAAGTACCTAAACTGTTACCTTAACGTGTTATGATACATGATATGTGTCATAAATATTGACAAGAATGATAGGACAAGCTTTACATTAGGAATGTCAATAAGTTAATAATCTAAGTTATTGAATAATGTCAATTTAATATTGTATTCTTAACTACAGCGCACTTATTAATTTGCTTAAGAAACTATCAAAGGATACAACGCATACTATTATTCTATGTGAAAGCTCACAGTGCATTTTTTATTATGAGAAAAATCAATAAAATATTTTAATATCAGGTAAGTTTAACATACTTATATGTATGTACCAAATGAAAGATATGGCAAATAAAATTTTATTAACAATTTTACACTAAAGAAGAAACATCCGAATCGGCATGGCATCAAAAGAAATAGTTTAAAAACGCGCAAGACCGATATATTCGTGAAGCCAAAGAATCATGTTATACACAACGAGATAGCAGATGTTACGCGCTGACATCGATTTAATGAATGAACGGTCAACCCTACACGAACACGGGATAACACACCAACACTCTAACCGAAATCATACGTTGCATGTGTAAATTTCTACGGACGTCTAAAGAGTGTGACACATCTTGTAGAGGGAGAGAATTATTTCGGGGGTTGAGGTAAATTCGAGAGACGTGAAACGTGTTGACTGATACGTGTCGAAAATGTTTACATGAGAGGTAAGAGGTAAGAGAGGTAAGAGAGAGTCGAAGAGAGCTGTCAGGTAGGGAATCGCAGACGTGATATCGAAGAGAATGCAGGAGTTCTAGCCATAGGCACGGACATTTCGTGTTTCAGGAGAGAAGAATCGGTGGAAAGTACCGAAGGCATTACAGTACTACTTACTCCTCTGATGCCTCTGTCATGGTTCGAGCTGTCGAAGCCTTTACTCAATGCCCACCTTTTCCCACACTTCACCATTTTCGTTGCATTGAAAAGACATTCGGCCGCGATTCTGTTTATGGAGCTTTTTTAGGCTAATGCCAACCACAGGAAGCGCCCCAGTCCTCCTCCCTCTCGCATTCCCCGTAGAGTTCATCCCCACGCCCGTCTCGAACCCACAGTCCACGCCTGCTCCCTTTAGTTTTACTGACCGTCGTTTTCGTTTTGAAAACATCTCTTCTTCTGCATGTTCTCCAAGAAACCTTTGTTAATTGACACGCTGATCATTCTGTCCGCGAACAATCGTACCGTCTATTCGGTCTAGTGTCTTTGGTCGCGGTTCTCGCTCCAAAATCACGGAAAAAACAACCGAGCGAAACTCGCGCACCAACGTTCACCCCGCGACTCCGACTGACTATACACTATACAGTAGCTCAGTAGCTATCAACTCTTCTACAATGAAAGCTACCGGTCTGCGCAACAGGATTCATTCATCGATGCTACCCATACAGCCTTGTTAATAATTAAGCGCGCTAACGTCTCTATGGCGGACAATGCACGTAACTGTTACTCACGATCCTGCGTGATTATCTACTTGAATCATTGTTTGAGATAATATTATATGTTTCATTTAGAAAGAATAACATTTTTTATATACTATGTACTATAACAATCTATTTATATGATTTTCTTTAAACTAGGACACTCCCTCGATATCGAAGCACGGGAAAATATATTTTACACATTTATTACTAGAACATTATAAAGTGTAATTCATTGAAATGTGATCTCACACGTGTTCTTACACGCTTAGTCCTTGTATATTACTTTATATCTATGAAGTAATTTAGGAAGAAATTCATGAAATTTAATAATAATAATAATAGTGATAATACAGGACTGACATCATTCGATTTTCGAAAACATAATCATTAAATTTTCCATTTTGTCTTGAAATTTTCGACTATAAAAAGCGAGATAATTAAATATGTTGTAAATTAATGTCAGAAAATTCTGCAATGTATCCAGTCTTTTCATTTTTAAATTTTAAATAAAATTTCTATGGTTCTAATTTTTTTCATTAAATAATGAAACAAATTTTTCACGATGGTATAAAATATTAATAAATAGTATTTCTATTTATGTATAAGGTAATTATTAAATTTACATAAATAGTATTAATTTCATGTTTATTACTTTATGTTTTTATTCGATTATGTTGGATCCACGTGATAATTAACATTGATATGCAATTTATTAACCTATACAATGGACGTTCAATTATAAATTTTTATCCAGTATTTTATAGAGGACGGTATTGACTTTATTACTTCTATTGGCTCGTGTATCCTTATTTAAACATGTCCCTGAACGTGGGGCATACATTTTCCGGTACATTTATTCAGCCGATATTAAGTTGTAATTATAGATCGATAATAGCGCATTTTTTTTTTTTATTAAAAACACTATATCGTCATTATATATCGTATTACCACTTTAGAGTGGTAAGTTTTAGCATCATGATACACATGTGAAATTACAAATAATATCAGGCTATTCAAATTATTTCTATTATTGTTTTATTTTTCGCATATAATGAAAAGAACAAATCAGTAATTTTAAATGTCAGATGAAGGTATAAAACAATTAAAATAATATTGATCATTGTTAAGCAAAGAAAGTACAATAAATAATGAAACAAGAAAAGTGGAAATGTTTAAAAGTAATTAATGAATATATACATTTATCTGTTACATAAATAGTACTTTTAAATTAGATGTAATTGATTTATTTTCAAGGACGAACCCGTAATAATAAAATGTTATCAAATATAACATAAATTGTTTATATTACAATTAAAAAAATGTAACATTTGAATGCAAATTTCAGATTTTTATTTTAAATTTATTAAACATGATTCGTAATCGATAAATGTCGGGCACGAACATTATACATATGTATATTGCTTCATTCTTATCGTCCTACGCATAGAAAGAAACATTGATCCATATTTTTCTTCGGCTAGTCCAATTCCTATCTACAGACATGTTTTGCATGTTACATGTATTGTATGTGTGTGTGTGTCATGCAGTTTATTACGAAAATATCGCAGTGAAATTGTTGTAGTATACTCGATAAAAGAATTATAGCGAGGTTATAAAAATAGTATAGGTTGAAGGCAGCATCACACTTGAGTAGGAGTTAAGAATTGAAACCAAATATATGTATGTTCTGTATAATTTGTAGACACTATATTACGGACCTGTGCAGCTCCATGATTAGTGTCAAAAAACACATCTTATTGATTACTCGTTATTTGTTTCTTGGAATCGAAAATGGTATCGTCACATACATAGATAAGCTTTTTATCATGTACAGTAACATGTCTACCTTTATTAATTTTACATCAGAGAACAGATGAATTTCAATTTCACGATCAATCCATCATTTTTAAAATAAGTATAATTAAGGATTTGTGATGTTCGCGGATCTCGACTCTGTAACAAATAAAAACAAACATAATATAGTTTAATCTAATACATATTACGTTACAACTTTGTTGGTTACTTTTCTTTAAATATTAAAAATGGTATTTTATGTATTTTTAATATAATATGACAAAATTCGAGTCACAAAATTGGTTGTTACGCCACTGTTTCTGTTATATAGTTGTAGCCTTAGGAAAAGTATGCTTGCAACGAATTGTATTGCTGAATACATAGGGAAATTTGAGATTACCAATGACGAAGAAATAAGGGTACACGTGAGGTGAACTGGCGCCACCAACGAAGTTCCTACTTTGTCCGCAACTGTCGCTGAAGTCAACTCGGAGTTGCACCCCAGAGCGAAATCGTATAATTTGTTGAAAGATTAGCTGTGTTTTGAAAATATTTGTAAGACGTTTTAATAAGGAGTAAAGTAAACCGGATTGTGTAGTTTCTAATAAAAATGACTACGGCTGCGAGACCCACGTTTGAACCTGCTAGAGGAGGCCAAGGACGTGGCGAAAAGGATTTAAGTGCGATATCAAAACAATATAGTAGTAGAGATTTACCTTCTCATACGAAGCTAAAGTACAGGTATTTTAGTTTGTTTCATTTTATTTTTAAGATATACACGTCTGCGTATACTGTTTCCTTAAATACTATATCATATTTTGTTTAGAATATAATTGAACATAACCTTATTTGTTTGTATTTATTCGAACGATTTTCATGTTTAGAGAACATGGTCAAGGAACGATAGAGGAATTGCGAAATCGCGACTTTCGCAAAGAATTAGAAGAACGTGAACGCGAAAGAGAGAAAGGTAAAAGTTCTAATCGACGTATGATAGAGCCACCTCGAGAAACTTCTGCGACTAGTACCAAAAGACAAAAGATAGATCAAGTTCCGACAGCAAGTTTAGATGCAGACGATCCTCTAGATGATGACGATTCAGAATCAGAAAGCGACGAAGATGATACTGCTGCCCTTTTGGCTGAATTGCAACGTATTAAAAAGGAAAGAGCTGCAGAGCAAGCAAAGAAGGTTAGATTTTTATTGAATTTCTCATATTTGGTATTATATAAAGTATAAAAGTATTTAAATGAAAAGAATCAATGTTTATAATGTATCAGCCAGCAGACAATGGAAAATTTGATAGTTGAGCACAAAGCAAAATGTAGTTATTTTTGCTAGTTTAATTATTATCATTTTTAATGTAAATAGTTCATTTTTCATGCCTCTTTAGTTCTCTTTTCTTTATCTCTTACTTTCTCCAAAAGTAATCTTCAGTTTTTATTTATTGATATATAATATTCCTACTTAGAATTTCTTGTGAAGTATGTGATAAATACATTCTGTATTGAAATGTCAATACAATTAAAAAAAGACCATGTATTTTTTTTTTATGGTCAAACATTCTCAAAGTAATTCATTTAATATGTCTATATCATATTTAGTTGAATTATAATATGGCATAATTTCTGGTTTATAATTTTGATGTAATATAGTATGGGTAAAAATTGACCTAATCTTGCTGAGATTGTTAACTATTTGAACCTTGTTTACTATAGCTGATTAAATTAATAAACTAATTGATCAAATTTGAGGTTGTGCCTTTGTTTTGCAGGAAATGGAGAAACGGCAAGAAGAGGAAAGAATAAGAATGGAAAATATACTATCAGGGAACCCTTTATTAAATTATTCATCACAGAGTGGTCGAACAGACATGAAAGTCAGACGACGATGGGATGACGACGTTGTTTTCAAAAATTGTGCTCGCTCCGAACCAAAGAAGAAACACGATGTGTTCATAAACGATTCGTTAAGAAGTGAATTTCATCGTAAATTTATGGAAAAATATGTTAAGTGAGAAATTCCTGTGAAAAGTATACTGTGTCTGTACATAATTTTAAGGTAGTTTTACCATTATAATTGTATAAATTCGTCGAAAGTTTCCAGCTGAAAAGACGTAAACAAATGTTCTGATGCGTCTAAAACTTTAAAGGACAACTCGTTCTAAAATTACATTTTATTAATTCACATCTTAATTCTACGTGTACATTAATACTATCACATGTGCATTACTCAATTATACAAACATTTTGTAATTAATAATTACGTAAATTGTTTAATTAAACAAAAATGTTAAAAACTTCGAACCATTGAAATTTAAAAGTAGGGAACACATCGATTGATTCGCAGTTTTCTTTTGTCGTGTACCTCTTTGTAGTACGGTGCCTAAAGATTAACACTTCAAGTAGGACCATTTGAATAACTAAAAATAGACGTAAAGATATTGGAACGAGGACGAAAAAGTAGGACGGGATAGATTAGTGTAGCGTTAGGTAAAATGTAATTTATAACTATGGTTACCGAGTAATCAATAATCACGGTGAACAATTAATGAACAATCATTAAACGCGTTTAATGATTAACAGACAGGGAATTTCACGCATTTAGATGTATGTTAATATGGGAAACATGCAAAACATATGTAAAATATGGTTCAAACATAATAATAACATTCTATTTTACACTGGTATATAGACTCTGAAACTATTCAGCATAAGGCCGATCGCACACGGCGCAACCGATCAGTTTCAAACCACTCTGAAACTAGTTGCATGCGACCGTGGATCCAATTCTTCAGTAGGTAAAGCAAAGAGCGCAAACGGTTTGCAATACTAATTTCAAATCGGTTGCGCCGTGCGCGATCGGCCTAAAGTGTTTGAATGCGTCATAAATACATAAAATAATCTAACGATAAACTGCGGATTTTTATGCAAATAGATATTTTCACAGATACAGAAAAAGAATTCAAACTAAAACGAAAGCACGTCTTATCTTCTAAACGGTACAATCCGTATATTATTATCTATATTTTATACATATACTTTTCCATTCCGCACGGATTCCCAAACATATTCGAATATTTCGACTTGTCGTAAATGCATAAACATTTGCAGTCTACTAATGATTAACTAATAATAGTTACGATTAGCTCTGAACGATTACAAAGTTACAAATTTATGATTTCAGATCGCAACCGTAGTTTATGATTGCCGATGATTCCGATGAGTGTGAATGATAACTGCAAAAGTGTCCACGGTTCGAGACGAGTGGATCCGATAGAGGTGGAGCGTGTATGTCCCCGACGGAGATCGTTGGCCGTGTACGTGCATGACAGAGAACGACAGTGTGTTTGTTTGTTTGTTTGTTTGTGGTTGCGTGCGTGCGTGCGCGAGAGAGAAGCACCGCGGTGGAGTTTGTCCAGGCATTGTAGGTACGTGTTTCGGTAGCGGTGCGATCTGGCTTCGGCGGTGGTGGTGCTGCCGGCGGCAAGCGCGTGTAAACCGCTGGGTCAAGTATAACCGGTCCCAGGGTCCCCAGAGCAGCCGGAGGCAGCAGGCAGTCTACCGGTGCGACGCGCAGCTGGTTATCGTTGGTAGACTCCCTGGCACCGACCTGGCCAACTAACGCAACAGGGACACACAAGGGGCCGACCCGGCTCGACGAGGAGAGAAAGAGAGGAAGAGAGACGACCGTTCACCGGTAGATCGCCTCAAGATGATTTCTGGGAAGAGGTATGTCGTACGTTACGGTACGACCGATCGGTACTTTACGCGGCTCAATTCGTCATCTAGCCGATGTTACCCGGTTTTTCTTCTACTCTGACATTTTTTCATGAATTATTACTATCAATGCACGGTGAGGTGGAGAACCAAATTGAACACACAGAGGCAATCGGTAAGGGTATTATTATTTAAAATACATGTACGTCTCGATCTCTGGTTCAGTAGACGAAATTTGAATCAGGATTACCTTAACTTTAACTAAAGATAGTTGTCGTCAAATGTTTTTGCGTTGATCAAGTATTTATTACAACAGTATTTATTATACCGTCCGATTTTAGTGAACTTCGGTTTAACTCTTGTTAACTGGACTGCTACCAAGCGTCGCTCTAATTATATAAACACTCGATCAGCGACAATGTAAACATAATTTTTTCGTTCCATTTCTCGAAAGATACGGACAGTAAATAAATTCGAATAGCTAAATACCGCGATTAAAAAGCCAACAAATAGGCTCCCGGTAAATAAAGCGTTAAATACTACAGTTAAGTGGCTACCAGAATATAACAATAGATTCACGAAAATGTAACTTTTATAATTCAAGGTTTTTTCCGCCATTCAACCACTGCGCGGCGGACCAAAGCGCGTAGTCGTTGAATTTTCTTCGAGAGGATAATCTCCGAGGGAGGGATTTCCCCGGTGAACGCACCTATGGATTCTGCAGCGGCCGATGCTCGACGGGAATTCGCCCTGAGGGCACTCTCCCTTCCTCTCCCTCTCCCTTTCTCTCCTTTCCACTCCCTCTTTCCCTTTAACTCTCTTTTTCTTCTTGCCTCTCCTCCCTCCCGCCATCCATTCCTCTCTTGCACTCTCCTCTCTCTTCTCTGCTGCCACATTTTTTATTTACCTCCTATATTCCTCTATTTATTTTATTTATTTTGTTGCTGTTGGTCAGTCGAGAAAGAGAGTATACCGAGAGAGAGAGAGAGAGAGAGAGAGAGAGAGAGAGAGAGGGGGAGAGCGATCCGCAGCATCTCTTACTTTTCTCCAGAGTTCCATCCACGAATGTGCAGAATGACGAGCCAGGGCTGTAAGCTACAAACGTTGTTTTCAGGATTGTCGCTGAGGAATTAAGACCCAGACCGTCAGCGAATACGCCAATGATCCACTGGTCTCGTTGCGTTTGTCACCTGCGAGAGGAATGCCGGTGAGTGATTAATGATTGTTCCACGTAACCAGCGGGATCGTAAAGACGAGCGAATTATCAACACGTTCGTTAATATCGAGAGCAAGGTGCTCTCCTTCGGGAGCCCTTGATCTTTTACTTCATCGGTCTCCCTTTCCAGCTGTTTCCAACTTATTGTTAAGGAGTCGACGAATTAACTCGTTTCGAGCTCTTACCTATTTAACAAAGCTCATGCGATTGAACTCGTCTCGAGCACGACAAGAACAAAATAATTTGACGAGTATACTACTCGCGCAGAGCACCGAAAAGGTTGAAATTGGAAGAGATATTCGGGTGGCCTGGTTTAGATGGACGCCGTATATCGGTCTATGGCGACGCAAAAGTTACGTTTCGTGCTGGACAGAAAAGAAACGGGCGACTTTGACGTAAACAAGTGAAATAACGTGATGTCACATTTAAAAATATCTCACCAATTTCTGTCTGCTCGTACATTATTCATGAATGAGAAAATCTATTTAAAAAAACCGACACAACGCCGTTGTGACGTCGAATTGCACATTTTCTAGAGAACGGAGGCAATGCGAGACAGATATTTCTTTTTTTTTTTACTTGTCGCTTACGCGTGCCAGCCGGTAAGGAAATTGTATCGAGTAAACAAATATTTCTCACAACAAACTCGATATTATAAGCCTTGCGCTGGCTTTATAGGCAGATTAATGATACTACCGACTCAGATTCGCTTTCACCGTCGTCCGCCCACCCCGGCCCCTTCCACGCTTATGGTTGGTTGCGCATTAATATGACACGTGATTTATTTTTTTTTTGTTTTACATTTCTATTAAAAATTCACTGCGACAATAATTCCCCGTTCTCCGCGACGTTTACTTCGCGGAAGGCAATCTATGTTAACTTTTGAGCACAAAATATCATATTTTAAGTAGCAATGAAGAATGTGGAACTAGTTAATCGATTTAACATATTTATGTAAAAATATTCGACACTTAACATAGTTTGCCTGGTTTTTCGGTAACCTGAATTTTTGTCCGCGGACTACGAGCACTTGGTGATTTCAACGCCTGCATCGTTGGCCAAAAGTTTCCATAATGTTTCGTTGCTCGCGTTTTCGAGCTTTTACTACTATCTATGTAATGTCGTGCACCATTTAACATCATCGTTGACGAACAATGTATCGAAAAAGTAAGCAACCAAGTAGTAAGAAAACCTCGATAGATAAAAGGTTTAAAAAAATTGTTGTTTAATAGCCAATGTCGTAAGTGTTCTTCGCAATCTTTTTTACAGGGATAAATTCTCTTAATTCTCTTAATTGTGGATGACATTCAACCAAGGAGTCCATACATTCAACAATTTTCAGACTATGGAGTTTTTAGTTTCTTGTACCGTTTTTTTTCTTTTTTTTTTTGGAAATGTCGAATCCGCGAATGGAATATAATTTCCAAAAATACATTCTTCGAATAACGTCTCACGTCTCGAAACTTTCAGCCTAAAGATATCCCGTTTCCGCGTGGCCCTCATGTATTATCAAGTTTGTAACCGGAGTATAATTTTAGTTGTAGCGGGTGTCTTAAAAATCGCAATATAAAATAATTGAAACGTTAGAAGAGCAGTCGTAAGACACTGCGCGTAATTGGTCGGGCCGGCTGGTTAATAAAAATTCAAAGGGTTGAAAAAGTGGAAGAATTTGCAGGTTCGGTCGGCCGCCATCGCACGGTGTTTCCTCGCCTAACCCTGATCTCCGGCACCACGTTAGAGAGTCGACGATCAGGGTTGGTGAACGCCGCCTACTTCTTCGGCAGGGGCGGTCCTATCTCTATGACCCAGGGGCGTGCAAATGCCTTCGAAAATTCAGTAGATCCACCGGTGGAAACTTTGCTCGAAATGTCTCGAACGTTCATCCACCGAATCCTCCGTTTCTTCCGTCTCTGCATCATCAGCCAGTCGGTGGATTACGTTCGTTACACGGCATGCAACATTTTTTCCATATTCGTAGAAAGTTTCTCTCTGGATTCTTGCAGTCTTTCGGTGCAAGGATGGGCAAAATTCTTATCTAGATACAACTTTCGCAAAGTGTGTAAAAGATCTTAAGTGATTTGATAGTTCGAGAGTTCGATGTGCTTATATTTGTATAATATTTATATAGTATTAGTATAGCAATAGTATTTTGTATTTTGACAACATTCGATATCTGGTTCATCTATTAGAACCGTTTCTTGATTAATATTTATAGGAGCATAAAATGTTATGTCAATAATAGATACGAAGTATTGGTTGTACTAGCAAAAAGTCTATTAATAAGTTACCGATTGGTAAAGAATTAACCAGCAAAATTATTATATTATTACATAAAATTAATACCACGTCATTTTTCATTTTTAGTATACGTCAAAGTCAACCATTTTGGCAAACAGTTCAAGTCTCTTTCCGTTCCCTAGATCATTTAGTCATTATACATTATGTACCCCAACTCTTATCATTTTACATAATTTACACGTTTCCATTTCAATTCGTCGAAGGAACCAAGTCGGTTGGGTAAAGCGAAACTATAGTCATTAACTAGCGATAGTTTTCCACAGTAATGTTTCATATGAAGTTACCGATCCTGGAATGAAATCCAGTTGAGCTTAACGTACCATGACGAGTATTGCAAAAGATCTAAACGTCAGCAGTAGGGTTGAAGTAATCCAAGTTTAATTTATGAAATCGTCGACGAAGATTGTTTCGCTATTCTCAATGTTCAATGTAACGCAAGAGGCTCGAGTCTCTGACTCAAGACTCGGATTATTTCTTTGCTGATGCGTGTTCAATGGGTACGTTATAAATATAAACGGATAACTCTCTAGACCCGATTATTAATTCATATAATTATAGAAACATAAGATGATATGTCGATAATAGATACAAAGTATTGGTTGTACTGCATACAAAGTATTGCAATTACTAGACTGCGGATCTTTCTGCATTTATAGGAAATTTGAATGTACAAGAAATGTACAAAATGCAAACGCAAGAACATAATGCAAGAATATAATAAAGTTGAAAGTAAATGCGTAATGGATTGAACCTGTATGACGGCATCGGGGGTTGGAGAAGTGTTTGTATGTAATAGTCGAATGAATATGAAAATATGTGTACGCAAAGATGTTGCAAGAAGTTCTGGAGCCATCGGTAGATAACTTGTTTGAACCGGAGTACGAGGGCTATATTTTCCAACAAGGCAGTGCTCCTTGCATACTTGAAAGAAAACTAAGGAGTGGTTCGCTGACAAATACATAATACATATCTTGTACCTACCTAAGAAGGCAAAATGTGTTAAATTTAAACTTCCTAGTTCGGAATAAATCTACAAACACCCTCGATAAAGAAACATTTTTTACTTGATGTTATAAAACTATTACAAAAACAGGAAATTATTTTCAATTGTTCAGTTACAGTAAGATGAAGTTATCCAGAACCAAGCGATATGGACTTTTAAAGAATAACGTAACGATAACGTTTCTATCGCACTTTGTTCGATGTCTGTTAAGTAACGGAACGAAGTTGAACATGCATGCGTATATGTAACGCGTTAAATAAGAAAAGGGGAAAGTATGCGGGGCGTCGATCGTTTTACGAACGCAGTCACGATAGTCTATATTTCGATCGCCGTATCAAGGGGAAAAACACTTTGCCGCGGGTAGATGGTCGTGATAAAGAGAACTGTGAAAATGAAGAATAGCTCGCGCAAAGTGAAAAGGTATGGCTCACGATTAGATTGTTCAGCAAGTGCGCGACGTGTTGCGTAGAACGCTGTTGTACGCCTAACGCGGCATTCGCGGAATGCAGCGTGTAACACCGCGTGTATGCAAGGTTCTGAAGAGGTTCGCGGACGTGTATTACAATGTAACTCGCATTACGCAATGGAAGGCACACGGTGTCGTTTCGATACGAAAATTAGCAAAAATCCGAATTTCATTTACAGACCTGTTACACAAGCAATAGATCTGGCATTTTCAAAATGGGCTGTAGGATTTTGGTTATTAATCCTTTGCACGCGAGAGGTGGCTCTCGTGGTGCGTCGTGTCTGCATGCCACCGTGAATGAAAGGAGAGAAGGGTTGAAAGAATCGCTGTGAAGAGGTTCGGGGACAGAGTGAAAGAAGAGAGTACGAGTGAGGATTAGTATGTACGGGTGGCTACCGGCGAAAGCGATGCGAGGAAATGCTAAGGTGCTAGGCATGGCAAGTCAAGGCAAGACGAGACAAGGCAAGGTAAGACGAGGCAAGCCAATGCATGGCAAATCAAGGCATGGGAAGTCAAGAGATGGCAGATCAAGGCATGGCAAGCCAATGCATGGCAAATCAAGGCATGCAAAGCCAAGAGATGGAAAATCAAGGCATGACAAGTCAAGGCATGCAAGTCAAGGCATGGGAAGTCAAGAGATGGCAAATCAAGGCATGGCAAATCAAGGCATGCAAAGCCAAGAGATGGAAAATCAAGGCATGCAAGTCAAGGCATGGCAAGCCAATGCATGGCAAGTCGAGGCATGGCAAGCCAATGCATGATAAGTCAAGACAAGACAAGGCAAGGTATGATAAGTCAAGACAAGGTAAGGCGAGGCGAAGCGAGGCGAGGCAAGGCAAGGCAAGGTAAGCCAAGGCATGGCAAGGCTAGGCGAGGTGAGGTGAGGCGAGGCGAGGCGAAGCGAGGCGAAACGAGGGAACGCGAGCCACAGAGGCAAAGGCAAAGACGAAGCGAGGCGTGGCTCTGTCGGAGGAGCGTTACGGCCCTGGGAGGCGGTGGTGAGGCCTCGCGGAGGAGCAGCGACGACGAGGAGGTGCACGGTACGAGCCAGACAAACAGACTGGCACTGGCATCGCGGGAGTCGGCGGCAGTGGTCACTGGTGGTCACCGAGGAGGATCTCGAGAGTCACCCGTGGCGCGTATTGGCGAACATGCGCGGCGTGCATCCTTTAAATCGCTCCTCGACGAAAGTGCGCGCAGTGTGCCCGTTCGGTTCTCGGTCGCTTTAACAAGACCCGGATAGAATTGACCAAGTCGACGGTAGGTTGTGCGCGTGAACGGTCTTATCGTCGGGTAAGAGACGTTGATCCAGAGACGAGGAATCTCTGTAACGATCGTATCGGTGAGTGTCTTCGGATGACTATCGAACAAATTGAGCGCGTGAAACGATAAAAGAGCTCCCAGAGAAGCTAGTGTTCGTGGAAAAGTCGGAACTGAGAATGTGTTCGGTGTTGTAATTCGTCGACTCGATCCAGATTTAAACTAGTGCGCGGGGACAAGGAAGAATCCGAAGGTGTTTGGTGTCGAAGAATCTATCTAAACTCGAGACAGTGTACGAGGAACAAGAGAACCCGAAAGTGTTGGATAGTTCCAAGTTGGATCTAGCTTGGACTCGATCTAGTGTACCAAGGATCTTTAGGATAAGAAGAAATCGGATGGTATTCGATGGTCGATGTAACCGAGACTGAAGGCAGTGCACGAGGAAGAAGAATCTCGGTTGGTTAGTGTTGGAGACTCTTGTGTACGCGGATTCCATGGTATAGAGCGCGGTGTCGCATCGCAGGATCGATCGATCTCTTAGCCGGATCGCGGCTCGATCGCCGAGGCGGCGGTCCCGCTCGGCGTCCACGTTGGTGGTTCGATAGGAACGACGACGACGACGACGACGTTGTCGTCGTGCGAGCGCCGACGTAGGAGGAGGAGGAGGCGGTGGCGTAGGGGAAGGTGGTGCTGGTGGAGGTGGTGGTGGAAGCGACGGGAGATAGAATGGTGGCTTCCGGCCCGTGTCGATCACGAGCGGAAAGACGCGGCGAGATGTCGCCGCGCCGTCTCGCGCCCCTGCTGATCCTCGGGACGATCCTCGCCGGGCTGACGAGCACCGCCGCCGCGGACAGGATGAGCGGCCTCTACGTCGACAACGGTTTCGACCAGACGGTGGTGCACAGGGTGGTCAGCCAACGGGAGAAACGCGAGGTCGAGCACGAGATATTGAATCTACTCGGGCTGCCGGATCGGCCGAGGAACACGGCCGGCAGGCCGCCGCAGGTCAAGAGGTCGGCGCCAAAGTTTCTTTTGGATATATACAAGAACGCGCTCGGCGAGGACGAGGACGAGAAGCCAATCGCCGAGCAACGTAGGGCCGGCGAGTTTGACCTCACCGGTCAGGATCTCAGGGCCATCGACCAGAGCGACGTCATCATGACCTTTACCGCGCACAGTAAGTCATTTATTTCGTTCGTCTTCACTGCGTTTCGTCTCGCTCGGCGCGCGTTCACTCCGTGTCATCGCGTTCACGCGGCTCCATCGCCCGTCGCGTGTGGAACCTGCGACTCCTCGGACATCTAAACAGACCGCTTACCTTTTTCAGACCTTCCCGGAATATTCAACCGAATCTCTCTTAGTTAGTCGATCCTTGATGATATTTTTCCATCGATGTTGTACGTTTTAGAAGGTCCCGGTATATCAAACTGAGACTCACTGGTCTGGTCTGGTCCAGTTAATGTGTTTTTCTAATGCATATAATTTTTGCTATAATTTTTTACATAATTTTTGTCATTGAAATTTCGTTTACATATAAAGGGACGTTCAAAGAAGAAAATTTGACAGCGTAGATCTGAATATTTTATCTGATAGATAGAGTCAGAAAATTTTTTTCTTTAGTAGCTACGTAAAATGCGTACGAACCTCGATTCGTTTCTATTGTTGAGAATCGTCTGCATATTGTTTAAAAGTTTGTACTCTACTCGATCGTGCTTGCATTCCTTGGCATTCTTCAATTAAGTGTTTAACTGTGACAAGTTCACCACAAAAGGTGCACGATGGTGATTTCGTTATTTTGTAACAATGGGTTAGATTTGTGTGGACAATTCTCAATCTTGTTATTGCCACTTGTCGGAGTTGTATCGTTGGTTGATTTTCGGATTTGGTGTAGATTCGCTGGTGGCATGTTGGTCCATGGTTCCTGGTTCCGTATTCCTTTTGCTGTTTTTTTGTTATTTTTAATTTTTTTTTTCATTCAATGTGGGCGATATTTGGACATATGGTTCTTCCATCGTGATGGCTTTTTTTTGCAGCTTCGTCTGGTCTTTCGTTGCCCACGATTCCTTGATGCGATGGAATCCAAACGAATTCGGGTTGGACATTTTTATCGCCATTATTACGCCAAAGCAAACGAGACTAGGCTCGAATAGCAACTTAGTTGCGTCATAGCACGAAATTGAGTCGAATGTAGAATACCAGCGTCGAAAAAGTATAGACAGAACTGTCCCGTTGATACAAACCGCAGACGGAGGGAAATGCTGGAATTGGAGCTGAAACTGGTTTCTTAATCGGCAGATTTGAATTCAGAGACTGCGTTGAAAATGTTTTCAGAGCGATCGATATAATTAATGCGCTCTGTATGAGTTTACTTCGGGATTATAAATCGCTTTACCAACTGGATTCTACCGGTTTAGAAGCAGTTCTCGTGGGTGTGAGCATTCTGCGGCAAGGAATGCTCGTCTAGCATTTCTTTCGTGACTTTGGCGGATATTCGACTCGGTCCCCGAGTATCATCGAGCAAACAACGTAATAACGATCGTCGAAATATTTCTGGAAATTACTGAAATTCTTCGACTCGTCCTGCGTATTAGAGACCACGTTCAGTCGACGCGAATGGGAAATCCTAAACAGGCGGGACAGTTTCTCGATCAATTTTCTTTTCTGTTGCGGTCGGTGGAACGAAGATCCATTTTCGACATTTTTTTAACCATTTGCACTCGAGGCCTTTTTTTTCTGGTATCTGCCAACAACTCGAGATGTTTCTTAGCATTTTATTGCCATGAATTCTGAGCTATCTAGATTTGGGAATAAGGTCACCTTTACCTCGCCGACGAGGATTTTATCGACACTTGGAGCTCCAAAGAAATGAAACCTAAAGAAACATTAGGCATTTAGGTACAGATTTGCTGCGTGAAACCTAATGGTGACTGAGAGTCATCTCTCGAGTGCAAAGGGTTAATAAATATATTCTATCCTTTTCTATAAATAACATAAAAATAACTAACCATTTTAACGTTTTTAAGTTTCTCTAAATTGAAATATTAGTTTCTTCTCTCGTTTAAAATTTAGCAATAGCTAATAACTTTATACTTATTGTTTGTTTACGTTCTATAATTGACGAAAAGAGATTTTGGAACGCAACGTGTTCGCCAATTTCCAAGAAGAAGAAGAAATTGATTTCCATTCCAAGCCCAACTTTACGTTCTCCACTTGTCGCGTTCTCAAACGCGAACCAGTTTCTCAGGAATCTGTGCTTCCGCATGCATATTCATCGATTCAAACCATGTAAAATTTTAGGACACAAATCGCATGATATCATACAATATGTGCTAAGAATAAAAATTCAGGTCAATATGGTACCCACATACGCAAAGTTTAGTACCCTTATTTGTATCGACAATTTATAAATTAATTAATGCGTCGCAATGCTTTCGCAATGCTTTCGCATCGCTTGAATAATATTTCAACTAAAGCAATCAATTGAAAAGGATCCGCAAAATGGTCGAAAAGTATATCTTAATAAAATTAGTTTTCTGGATCGTTGCTCGTATCATCATATACGTACACCCTCGTTCATAAATATGTAGTCGCTTACTACCCCCAATGACCAATTAATTAATTAATTAATTAATTAATTAATTATTGAATCTACTTGGGCTAGTTGATTTTTGTTGGTGATATTTTTGCGCAAAGGACGATATTCATACCACACCTTTTAATGGTTCTCGGTCCATTATCGCGAGGCTTCGTTCCCTTTTCAACGGCGCGATTGAAATTTGTACGTTTCGTGAGTAACAGAAAGTCGAAGCGTTCGGAAAACTTTCTATTCGACGAGATTTCCCGTAAGGTACTGCTAACTGTTCACGCGGACCGCCCATCGTGAATTCTTCGCCGGACCCTTGAACATAACTCTCCCGGGGTTATGTCACTCGCGTTTCGGATGATCGAAATCGGTGCGGATCTTCTCGAAAATCGGGGGAACAGACGGTTTCCACTTTCGTTGCCGTCGACTTATGCAAATTGGCCCCCGTCCATAGAACTTTCTATTCGCTCGGAATCCTTTTCGTTGATGTCTCATTGGACGTTCGTGCCTCCCGAGACACCGTGAATTCTTCTAGAAAGTTCAAGGAAGATAAATTACAAGGACACCACGAACGCACGTCCCCGACGTGTGAAATCACGAAGAGACGCAGACGTCGGGCCGGTTATAGCGGATTCGTGATCACGAAAACGATCGGAGTCGAACGAGGCTAACGCGTGAAATCGCCACGTTTCTGGTGCGTTTTTAAATAGGGATCCTCAAAGATCCAGCGCAAAAATTCGTCATTCGATTCGGACACATTCAACGTGCGTTCCGTTATTTTTAACCCTTTGCACTCGAGAGGTGACTCTCAGTCACCATTAGGGTTTCACGCAGCAAAATTTGCAATACCCAATGTTTCTTTAGGTTTCATTTCCTTGGATCTCGAAATGTCGATAAAATGATCGTCGGTGAGGTAAAGGTGACCTTATTCTCAAATCTAGATAGCTTACAATTCATGGCAATAGAATGCTAAGAAACATCTCGAGTTGCTGGTAGATAACAGAAAAAATGGCCTCTATGACTACTACTTACTGGTATTTTCATTTTTTAATTTAATTAAATTCATTAAACCCTAAATAACTGAAAGAACGTCCTTCTACCCAGAATAATTCCGATCCGGAGGAGTTAAGAAACGCAATTGTGCGACTGCAGCAAACTTGGACACGCTACTGTTCGAGTAATTGCAAACGGTACTTACATACTGCTGTTCGATGACCGATTTCCGCGAGGTTCGTTCGAAAAGTTTTACGGAAAAATACCGAATCGCATCGAAGGAAGGCTCGATGCCAACAGACACTTGTCCTTCGTTCATTCACTCGTCAGAAATTACCATTCTCCGTGGTCCGTTCGCGTCACGACGCTCGAACGAGGAACAATTTACGATGCCACTATGGCGTCTTTCGGGAAAGGAGCTCTCCACGGCGGTAGGGAATTCCCCTTTGCAAGGTTCGTTGAACCGAATGTGTCAGACGCGAGATTTATCCCGTATGAATAATTTGCTGCCGCCACGGACAGTGATACTTCGGAGCGACGGTACCGGACTGAAAAGAGAAGCCTCCGGGCGGCAGCCTCTGCTCAGGTGTACGAATAGGCGGGCACCATTGTAATTGGACTATCGACTCCTCTGAACAGTTACGGTATCGTGCGCGTTTCAATTCACAAGTTATCTGCAAGCTTATTCAAGTATGAATACGTATCTAAAGATTCTGAAGGATCAACCCTTTGCACTCGAAAGGCGACTCTCAGTCACCACTAGGTTTTCTTTAGGTTTCATTTCTTTGGAACTCCAAGTGCCAATAAGATGATTTTCGTTGAGCCAAAGGTGACTAGAGATCTCATTTTCGAAGTCAATATAATCTTAACATTCGTGGCAATAGAATGCTTAGAAAGCGTCTCGAGTTGCTGATAGATAAAAAAAAAGGCCCTGACCATAAAAGTTTGTTTGTATAATTCGAATAAAATTCGAGATATCCTAAAATATTATTACAATATTAAAATAATTTCCATTATCTGAAAAAGTATGCCATAGAAACGTTAGCTTCCTCCAAGTATGTATGTCGCGATGTAAAAATGGTTGGAAAGGAACGGCCTAGATTATAAGTCTCAAACTAAGGTATTTATAGATAGCGTGAATAGTTAACTTTATGTAAAATCGATCTCGTTATTCGATCGTTGGATAATGTATGAATCATTACAATTCTCAATGAGAACAACACGTGTCTGACATATTTTTGTTTTATACTATTCTATGATAGTTTCTATGCGAGGCGATGGTAGCAGACTACACGAATATAGAAATGGCAATTATGTATCTAATGTATGATCTCGTCGATTGGAACGTTGTTTCGACAGAGCACCTGTTGCGCGCAGACTGCTTTCTTAACAGATGTTTGCCAAATAGTAAAACATTCGGAAGAATAGACAAACCCATGCAGGATACCGACATATTTCGAGAGCATACTTCTCTCGATGGTACACCTGGAACCAATAGGTCTATAAATTTGAAAGGAGGGGGTCTACGATTGAAGAAAACTTTGAAGAAAATGATAGGAAAAGCACTCGTGGTATACAGTACAAAGGGAAAATGAAAAGAC